GACGACTTGCCAAAGAGTGTTAGAGAAATTCGGAAAGAATTATACCCATTTATGAGAGCACATTGGACGAAGGGTAATATAAGGCTTCACTGAGGTATGGCAAGTTTCTTATAAACGACTAACTTTTTTCTCTAGAGAAATTGCAATCACAAGAAACTAAAAAAATAAGAGAAAGGAGTGAAGATAAGAAAAGTGAAATATCTAGGAAAAATGCTTCTAAAAAACCAAACCCAATCCATAAAGGGAAAAAAATGAAAGATACTAAAACCCACCATAGATCTATTAGTCTGGACAAATTTTTGGTGACTTATAAAGAAGAGGATAGAGACAATAATAAAAATGAATCCTCAAACACTAGTTCATAGCATAAACAGGATCATAACTTTCAAGATAATGATAAAGGCACTCTCGTGGTATGCACAATAATGTTAGGACATTGTTAAGTGAAGACAGGTTAGAGGAGCTCAACCATGCTCTGAAGGATATTAATTGGGATATCATTGGTCTGGTAGAAGTAATAAGGAAATTTTGTTTGGTTTTGGAACAATAATCAGGAAATGTTTTCATACACACAGCATCGCAACATGGAAGGTTTGGAATTGGATTTATTGTATCAAATAAATTAAAAAACAGGATAATAGATTTTAAAGTAATAAACTGCAGACTTTTGAACCTGTTAGTTTTTGAAATTACTTCCAGTAAAAAATTAACTATTTTGCAAGTGCACGCTCCTACGATGGCGGATTCCTATGAAGCAAAAGAAAAATTCTATCAAGAACTAGACACCGTTATTTCCAGTTAAGTGAAAAAATAATTGGATTATTGTGATGGGGGCTTTAATGGCAGGGCTGGTGTTAAACACGATGGTGAAGATAGGATTATGGAAGATTGGGGATACGGTAAAAGAAACGAAAGAGGAAACCAGTTAATCCATTTTTGTTTTAGCCAACGCTTGCAAATTGGAAATTCTTTCTTTGAAAGAAAAGCAAAAATGGACTTGGTGCTCACCAAAAGGATATAAGTTTGAGTTGGACTATTTTCTGACTAATCAAATTAGTTTAGTCGAAAATGTGGAGGTCATACAAAGGCTAAATTTCAACACAGATCACAGGATGTTAAGAGCAAAGTTACATATCGAAAAGTATAAAAGAAGAAGACCATTTAGGGCAAAGAAGAAGCACTTACCTCTTCACGACCCAACCCAAATAAAAAAATTTCGAGCGGAACTCACAAGAAAACTGCTGCATAGTTATGAAAGTAGAGAATGAAAAGTACTGAGTTCAGTTCAGGAAAAGTATAAGGAACGCTGGGTTCAGTATGAGTAAACCAAGTTAACTATCAAAGTTACGAAAGTACGAAATAACTTTTAAGAGTTCGTAAAAAGATAAAAGAAAGAGAACACATTACTGTAAAGGAAATAAAAGATCTCACGGTTCTGAACAATGAAATCAGGAAAAGAATAAAAGAAGATCTGGAAAATTATAAAAATGACACGGTCACTAAAATTCTTCTAAACAATAACTCCACAAGAAAAATTCCAAAAGAATTGTCCAAAGTTAGGTAATGGATGGTTGCTCTTGAAAACAGGAAGAAAGAAGTTATAACTGATAGGAAAAATATAAGAAGGGTAGCAACGGAATACTTCAGAGAACTTTGGCATTAAACCATTTAGGCTTTTGGCAGGACCTCTCTGGTGGATAGCAGCTAGGAACAGAGATGTTTGGAAAGAAAAATGGTAAAATGTCAGAAATCCCGCGTCCCAGTAGGGCTGGTCACCCAGGGAAGTGTTAAAGACTATTACTCCTAAGGGAAGGCCTATGCAAGAATAGTAAAAATTTTTTTATAAATTATAATGTAAAAAATTGTTTTATGTTGTTTTGTTTTGTTTTGTAATTGTATGTTTTCATATAAATTGTAATATTTACGCACAAATAAAGGCTATTTTCATTCATTCATTATAATTAACAAACTATGGTATGCATATTCATGCGATTTAAATTTCTTTTTAAGTATTGAAAACTTAAAAATATTGGGAAAAATCAACTTAAAAAAAATATATTCATAAATAATTATGAAGTAGGTTTGTGCAAAAGACGGACTCTCCAAGGATCCGTATATCTAAAATCTTTCAATTGCTATTTCAGATAGGGTCCTTTGTGTTTTTAATACCATTTCAAAACATTTGAGAAATGATGTGGAATTCGGAGAGGAAATTTTCCCTCATTCTTCCGTTAATTGAGTTTTAAGATATTTTACTGAGTTACATTTTAATTTCTGAATTTTGAATCAACACGAACACATACATTTTTGATGAGATTTAAATCTGGACACAGGAGAGGAGTTTTATATTCATTTGAATCACTAGTGGATCCAGAATTTGATTTTTTTTGGTTAGGGGGTTCAGACCGAAAGCTTTTTTTTCATTTATATAACAAAAATTAGTATGAAAAAAAAAAGAATGATACTAACTACCTATATGAAATTATGTTTAAGTGATTCTTGTAGTCCTATTAACTGTAATTACAAGAACAATAATACTTTAAGAAATAATTTTTAATATTTTTTTCTATAAAACATGATAACATTTTACCATTTTTTGGGAGGGGAGAACGGCTTCAGCCCGAAAGCCTCCTCCCCCGCAGATTCGCTTGTGATTTGGATAATCATTTAGCAGTCAATCCTCAGTGTGGAGAGCTTGGTGCGAAGAGTTACAATCTGGTAAAATTTGAATGTTTCTTTCTATAGCGATTTTTGGAGCACTTGTCTTAAAAGTCTATGAAAATAACACCAGAAATAAATGAGAACGATTGGGAAAACAAGCTGAGCTACACGTAATTCAGAAAAGATCAAAACACGTATTACAATTACGGACGTAAGAACCACAAATAATCTAACATTATCATCTCAACGTCTTTATTAAGCTTTTCCTCTTATGGTTCTTTCCTCAGTAGCTTTTCCAATATAGGGTAATATCGAGTAAGTTTATATCTTGCGCTCCCACTACGTCCGACTCCTCAATACATTGCTTTAATTGCATAGGAGTTGCTTTCGCCTATATGCATATGTATACACTGCTTCAAAAAAGTTTCCATACAGTTAGTTTTTCTTTATCATTGCTAATAATCTATTGATTATATTATTTTAATTAGTCAGGAAGGTTAGTAGAAGGAAAGGTGTGTCAACATGATAACAAGTTCATGCTGGATCACAAATCGTATAGCAAGAAGGTAAACAACTTTAATTCAAATGTCATAAAAGTTTCCATACAACTGTAATATCTCAATTCTACTTCTATCCAATACCATTAGTTTTCACAAAAGTATTATCTGAACACTACATACGAGATTTAGTTAAGGTTCATCCTACTTTAAATCATCATCATGCGTGTTGAACAGTGCATTCGTGACCAAATTGTGTCGTTGAGAAGTCAAAGATTTTCTATCGGAAAAAATTGGAACTTCACTAAATAAATCGCATGCAACTGTGCAGTAAATGTTAAACAGACACAGTGAATGAAAAATATTGAAGGACAGGCCTCGTTCAGGTCTCTCAAGAAAATTGAACAGAATTCATAAGAGATCTAATCTAAACCAGGTTCGTGAAATTCCCCAAACAAGTGCAACATCCTTACAAGTGGGCTTCAAAGAGATTAAGAGGTATGTGTAAATCCAGAAACTGTCCGTGACGTTCTGAGACAGGTAGGTTTTCATGCACGAATTGCAAGAAAAATTTCCTTTACAAGCAAAACTAATTAGAAGAAGGAAGAGGTATCGTTCGCCATGGACTATGCCCATAAGCCAAAAAGTTTCTCGGATTCTGTTATCTTTTCAGATGAATCCTAATTCAATTTTTGGCGCCAGATGGCAGGTGTCATGTCTGGAGAAAAGGCAAAAAACACTTATTTCAAAGAATTTGCGACCGATCTTCAAGCTTGGAGGTGGCAGTGTAATAGTATGTGGTTTTATGAGTGCATCAGGAGTTGGAAATATCGTTTTTATGGATGGAATCATGGAGCAGCATGTATTCCTAAACATTCTAATAAACAATTTGAAAAATTCTGCTGAAAAGCTTGAACTAATGCCGAGGTTTATTTTTCAACAGGTCAACGATTTTAAGTACAACGCCAAGAAAGTAAAACAATGGCTAATCCACAATGTTCCAAACCAGTTGCACACTCCTCCTTAATCACCAGACATGAATGCACTAGAACATTTGTGGGATGAATCAGGATGGCGCGTGTATAATCATGGCGTCAGAACTAAAGAAGCTCTCAAAGCAGCTTTATTTTCAAAATATGGTTCAATCAGCAGCGAGGTAACTAAAAAAAATAGTCCGTAGTATGATGAAAGATGGACTAATTGAAGTTTTATGGGCTAAGGGTGTTTTCACCAGATATTAAGAAGTAAATAATATAAAGTTTGTATATTTTTGTCATGTATGGAAACTTTTTTGACTTAATTTTCATTAATGTTTATATTACGGTCTTATTATATGAAAATCGCAACCAATGTTAATTTTATTTGTTTTAATTTATTGTCAAATAAAAATATTAAAAAATAATAATTTTTTTAAATACATTTTTCCAAAGAAAAATGAAACTTTTTTTAGGCAGTGTACATGACACACACCTGTACTACATACAAGGAAGGCAGCAAGGGCGTAATAATTCACTGAAAGAACTTAATTTCTTTAGTAATAAACAAAAATAGAGTTAAATTTCAAGTATACAGATGAATTGATAGAAAAATTATATTATCTCAATAACAAAATATCTATTTGCTTATTTTTCATAAAGTAATTAATGCAATATCTTTTCTAGTAGACTATGAGTTGTATTCGTACAAATCATGGGATTAAAGTTGTATTTGGTATAAACATTTAAAGTATATAGGTGTTCATACAACTTTGATTATTAAATGCATGAGTGAATATTAGAGGAAAAATACATGTAACTTCAAAAATAATATTATTTTAATCATTATCATTTGACGGTTAGATCTTGGTGTGTGAGATCATATCGGCTGTAGCTGGTTCAGAACTCTCTCGTGTAGTACGAGATTTCACGTGAAGTTATTTTCAGGCTTAAAATTTTTACTCCCGGTTATATCTTAAACGATGTGATATAGATGTAATGTCAATTATTTTGGTTTCAGATTTAGATTTAGTATTCAAATTATAGGTGATTCGAATGTTATTGAAAAAAGTGGTGATAAAGGAACATATAGTTGAGGGGCAGTGTCGGCACGGTGTTATTGAGTTTTGTGTTCAGTCGTATTTATATAGCCTGGGTGTAATGTATCATTCATACAATTTTCAGTTCGCGGAAATGTTTTAACCTGTAGTTGTGTATACTGATTTCTATGTGCTTTTAACTGTTGTAAATTAGAACTTAGGAGTGTGTACGAAGAAAAAATGTTGAAAACTAAACTACTTATGGCATTTTGCTGTTCTACCAGAGAAAAATATCACAACTAAATATTTAATGCTGTTAATTATTGCATTATATCATTACTGCAATGCCTGGACTCTTTGCTTTACTTCTTTCAAACTTAGTTTGTGGTTATGAGTTTTTATTGTATTTATAATGTAATGTCCTTTAACTTAATCAAGTGGTTTGGTATCATATTTCGAGTTTTGTTTGGAAGGTATATCACCTTTCAGCAAATGATTTTATGTGTGAATACAAACTATGAAAATAATAAGGTTATTAATTGAATTTAATAAACTTAGTTATACTTTTGTGTTTTTGTTTACTTTGAATTTGGACTAGTTCTTCATATGAAATGATAGTGCTTATTCATTGTTAAAAGCTTTATTAAAATAAAATACGATGTCGGCAACTTTCGTAGACCGAATTGATCCTTTTGCGAAACGTTCATTGAAAAAGAAGAAGAAGTCCCAAGGTTCATCTAGATATAGAAATAATGCAGATGTTGAATTACAATCTCTTCCATTGTTATCAGGTATGCAGTAATATTATTGATTACTATAATTTTTTAGGATGAATTACTGTATAGGATCTTATACCGATATGAAAAAAAGGATTTACTACCAATCTTAGTTCTCTTTTTTATGTTATATTGATTTTTTAATAATTTACTTCTGGTTTTTATATTATTATTAATGTTTATTTAGCAACTGGAATTCTTGATGTTTACACTTCTATTAGTGAACATTTAGGTTATTTCAATTTAAATATTAATAAATCAGATTAATAAACATTTCTTTATAGTTTTTTGCCATTAAATAAATAGATATATTTTCATATAAGGTACAAATTAGGTTTGTTTCATAATCTTTAGATATGTGTAACTTGATTTTTGTACACTTGTCTGTTTGCCATATTATTGCTTGTTTATGGTATGATTATTTTTCATTCAATGTTCTTTAGTCTTAGCAAGTATTGGGTGTAACCTCCCTCCTTATATGGATAATAGAACAAAATAACATAGCTTAGAGGTTACTTTTGATTGGCCAGGTTATTTTTGAATAATTGTTTATATTAATTGATCACAATTTTGTTATTGTTTTCCTGATAAGGATTTTATTTTATTTTGTCAATTCTTCAAATTTTAAATTAATCAGGTTTAAAACTTTGTCTAACAGTTGATCTGGTCCATTCATAATTATATTATATGTATGTGTACAGCAATACATGCTAATGCATGTTTGTGCACATTCATGTGTGGTATATAGTAAAACATTTACTTCGCTACTAAGACTTCATTTTCATAAACTATTTAATAAAGTTTCAAAATATTTGGCTTCTTCTTTTATTGCATACATTAAGTTATGTTATTAATTTGATAAGCTTTTTTTAATCATTAAGTTTCATAACAACTATGCATGTTGATATTTTTCATTTATTTTTGTAGAAATCTTTCTAATTTGTTATATTTTTAATCTAACCTGTCATAGTACATTACCTTCATTTAAGGTTATCAATATCAATAAAAATTATCTTCTGTTCCTTTCCATTATTATAATTCTCTTTGGACTATTTAATGGTTTGTAACAGCTATTCTTTTTTTCTTATTTAAAGTATCAATTAATCTATTAATTTTAGTGTAATTATGCTTATCAATTTTATTTATACTAGTTAGAACTTAACATTAGATGATTCATATTGAATCATATATGTGGATTATTTTATGGACCAAGATTTATGTATCTGTTGGGTTTTGAAAGCTAAGTTAGTAATATTTTAGATAACATAATAAATTATTTAATCCGGCATAATTAACTGTAACTTTAGGTTTTTTTTCATCAGTTCACAAGTTAGTATTAAGTATCACAAGTTAAGATTTTTTTTTTTAAACAGTCTTAAGAAGAAAAATGTAATTATAGTAATAGTTCCAAATCACTACTCGAAGGGGTTGATTGGTTTCAAAATCATATTAGTCACAAAATGCTGGCGGTAGTCTTGTATTAATAATCATGTTCACACTAAATGATAGATATGTCCTAACTTTTACGAGTGTATCAAACAAATATATTGAACAAATATAATATTACAGTAATTTATGTCACATTTAATATGTAATGTAGAATACTGAGGAATGTGTTTAGAATATCAATGTAATTTTGATTGGAGCAGTGCCTCAGTTTATTTTCTGTTATTTTAATTTAATTCCCAGTGTTCTAATTGTTGTTATTGTGCATACAAGCTGAATGAATACTGAGGATCATGATTATTGTTGGTCAGAAACACAAAAAGTTATGTTTATTTTGATATTTTTTCTTTGGAGGAAGAAGGCGTTTCTGTTAAAGAGACAGCAAACATTTGAATAATTTAGTTCACACTATTTTGTTTTATATTCCTAGTCCTGTCATAAATATTGTTACAAGGAAATATAAATATAAATAAAAAAACATATGATTACATTAATAAAATATATAATCGTGCATTATTTCAAACGATGATGAAGATGAATTTGAAAAAAATTGTTCAGAGAAGTGTATGATGATAGATCTGCTGTGAAATTTGGTCATTATTGAAGGGAGCAAAATATGTGAATTTGGCCACTCTATATCAAATTAAATATAGAATGTGGGGCTCTGCAAAATGTCACAATATGAAAATTCATGGAATCCACAGAACTTTACTAGATTTGTATTTATGTGTGTGGCGCCAAAAAATTAGAGCGATGGATCCATTTACCTCAATCACCTAGTCCTGTCATAAATATTATTACAAGGAAATATATACGAATTTCAACTGAAAAATTAATTTTTTCAAACACTTTATTAGAAAATAAAATGTATATCTATAAAAAAATTACTCAAAATGTCCTTATGCTTTGACACAGGCATTTAATCTCCGTGGCCAGTCATCAATAGCAGCATGCAGCAGTTCTTGAATATATATTCAACTGTTGCTCGGACCTGAGATTGTTTCAGACTTTCCAAGTTAGGGTGTGCTCTGTAGCATGCCAATCTTTCCAGTTCGGACCAAAGCTGATAATCTAGTGGGTTGAGATGAGGGCTTCCTGAGGGCCAATCAAAGGTAGAGATGAACTCTGGAATGTTCTTTTACAGCCACTGCTGAGTTGACCTGTCCTTGTGAGCTGGGTCGGAATCCTGCTGGAAAACCCAATAACTTCCAGCAAACTGAGTATCATTTAGAGGCTTGATAACAGGTTCCAAAATATCGTCCTGATAGTTTTTTAGCGGCTGTTTTAACTCCTTTTTCACAAAAATGGAGCTTTGTGGTGCCATCAAAGCAAATTTCCCACCAAACCATCACTGAGGAAGTGTGATGACCTCTTTCCACTCTTCCAATGACCTGCGCTTCTTTAGAGCTGTGTGCGTACACATGATCATTTTGGTGATTAAATTTTCTTCAAATTGTAAACATTTTCTCATTGCTGAACAAAATCTTTCAATGAAGACCATTGGCATAACAGCCAAGGAGCACTTTGCGATGTGTTGAAAATCTCAGACCTACATTTTCCAGCTTTGTGTTGGAAAATCTCTGACCTACATTTTCCAACTTTGTGTTAGGCAATCACAGCTATTTTGTTTTCTTTATCACCCCACTCCATGTTAACTGAGTGCATGCAAAATACAAACTAATTGGGATTATTATCCTGACATGTAAAGAAAATAACCTGATAGAGGTAAGGAGTATCTAAATAATACCCAAGGATGTAAACAAAGTTCAACTTTTGTAACAGTATTTATGGTAGATCTAGGTAAAAAGGAAGAAAATAAGATGTGGACTAGAGCTGACTTAACCTAATGTGAACATTATTCTGTATAATTGAAGATTAATTTCTCCTCATAACGTGGCAGTTACTTTATTAACAATAGGGAGCTGGGTAGCTCAGTGGGTAAAGGCACTGGCATCCTGTGCTCAAGTTCCTGTGTATGAGTCCATTAAATAAAGGGTTGGGGGGAATCTTTATTCTATGTCTAATTTCAGATTCACTCAGATTGTTTTAGGATTCTGTCTACTGTTTGTTAAATGTGATTTTAAAACCAGCTGCCATCTTGTATTAGCAATATAAAACTAGTACCATATTTGTTTTACTTCCTTAATTCCAGTTCCTGAAGTAGAATGGAAGGTTTATTATTAATATATCCGTATCTCAATTAGCTTTTTCTTTAGTACTTTAGAAACTTTTTATAATTGATTTTTAATGTCGAAACAAACATATTTTTTTGGTTCATCCAGCTATCTTTTTTTTTTTACTTTTATTTTTCTTCTGTACAACTTTTTTAAATATTCTCTTAAAACTTAGACCCATGGGCCGAAAAGGGTACTTACAGCTGGAGAAGGTTTGAATGTAAATTATTTTATGTAGAGTAATTCCGGCCAAAGATTTAAAAAATATTAGGCCTAACAGTAAGTAGAAATAAAAGACAGTTAATGTTGTGAAAATGTAGACATTTTTATATTTTAAACTTTTTTTATATCTGGATGCAAAAATGGTAGTATGAGCTATCTCAGGAGAACATTTTCCAGCTTAAAATCTTGATTTTTTAGAAATTGTTTGTTTTTTTGCCTAAAATTTTGAACAGAGTGCATTCAAGTGAAAAATTTGATTTTTTCCTTCAAGAAATTAAATTTTCAGTTATTTTGCTTCAAATTAGGATCATAACCTTATAATTTGGTTTAGTAGTACAATCGAAAACCACGATCAACAAACGATCATTTTTATCAATTTTCTATAATTTTAATATGTCTGTAAATTACTCTTCAAATATAAAATGAGCATATTAAGAAAAACAAGGCAATTAAAGTTGTGGTAAACCCCGTGTTGAGGTGATTTGATCGTTTTTTTATTTTAATAAATAATTTTAAAAAGTTTACCATTTAATAAAGACATTTTTGTTGCCTGGATTCGGCCTAATGGCTGTAGTAATTTGATGAAGAGACCTCTGATTTAGACAATGGTGACTTTGTTATGATCTAATCGTCTTGTTGATAAATTAGTTTATGTTTCATGTGCTGACGTACTTACTGTTTTTCCCTCTCTCCCACGGTCTCCTCTTTCATTGTATTTTCTTCACATTTGTAACAGCATTGAGGAAAATAGTTTGGAGTATCCCATTTTTTAACTCTTTTCTTTTTCCCTTGATTGCTGTTATTTCTTGTGATATTAGTTTATTAATACTTAAATTTAAGAAATCTCACAGTTTGTAACTTTTTGTTTAGTGGAGATGTTTTCAAAATCAGGTTTGATTCTCAAGATTCATTTTAAATGTATGTTGATTCAGAATATCATTTTTCTAATTTTTATTGAAAGTTATGATTTTCATATTAGAGCAGTTATTGTGATTTTAATTCAAGTGTCAAAAGTTCTCTTTAGTTTTTGATTCTTTGAGGAATTAAATTATTCTCACTATAGTTATAGTTTCAGTATCCTATCTTATTTGAATTAATTAACATATCAACGAGTATTTAATAATTAAGCTTCTGTATTTTAGAATATATAACAGAGTTTTGACGATATTCATTCTATTACTTTTTCGAAGTATAATTTTACTAATTACGCACGTTATTCTCTTTTTCTGGTTATAATAATTAAAATATATTATCCTCGGTAGGTGTATTAATTTCTGAAACATAACAAGTCAAATAAAGAATTTTCATAACTTTCTTTACAAATAGATGTTTTATTTTTAGTTTTAGTTTTAATAAAAATGAAAGTGGTATATTTTTAAATTTTAGGACCATTTTTTTATTGAACTTCATTTTTTGTAACTACCATGATTTATATTAATAAGGTTCTTCACATTTCATTCAGTGCCGAAACTGTTTTAATTTATATGATAAAGTAAAGATTTTAGATTTCTTCTTGTTCTTTGTAAGGATATAAAACTTATTGAGTTTTCCCTGGATTTAAATAAAAGTATTTATTGTGTATAATGAAGTACTACATTCTAAGGCTTTAGACTAGATATAGACTTAGATAGACTTTAACTTCCTTATCAATTTTAATCAGTTCCTCTCTATTTCTGACCTTCTTCTACATCTTGTATGTAATACTTTCAAATCCTCTTTGACATCTTACTTTTCTCTGGTAAGCCAACTCTTCTTTTGACAATAACACGACCAAATAAGAGCTTGTTTATCACTCTATTGTTAAGAATTCTTATTATATGGCATACCTATTCTATTTGACATGTATGACTCTAGTCCGAAGCCTCCATAAGTATGTTATACTATCAAAAATGGACCATATATTTTTCTTCTACTCATATATTTTAAGCTGGTTTGTGTTTGTCATAGGTGCAGTGAGAGTCCATGTTTCCACCCCTTGAATAAGAATTGCCCCTTTATTGTTTTATTAATTAAACTTTTAACTCATTCAAAGGATTGCTCATCAATATTTAATGTAGTATTAATTAATTAATTACTGATTAAACAAATATGCATATATTTATTTTTATTGTATGCATACTTAAACTATTCATTCTTTAAGCATGTATTTAAATGTTTTCAGATGTGTCATCTTCTGAACAAGAAGAGTTGTTCATTCGAAAGCTCAGGCAATGCTGTATTGCTTTTGATTTTATGGATCCTATGGCTGATATTAAGGGGAAAGAAACAAAAAGAGCAACTTTAAATGAATTAGTCGAGTATGTGTCTACTGGAAGGGGTGTACTCACAGAACCAGTATACCCTGAAATATTAAAAATGGTAAGTTTCAATTCTTTAACTGCTAAATATTATAAGAAAAATATTCCATTATTTAATTATATATTAGTAATCAATTATTTTAAAAAAATCTGGTGCAGTGCGTGCATCACACATCTTTCACTTACCACCCTCTTAGCAGAAATAAATATTTTCTGACAAGGGGGAAGTACAAGTAAAAATTATAAACACTATATCGATTTATATTTCATTTTGGATATTTTTATTTGTTTAAGTACCCTTATATACATACAAATTTTAATATTTACATCCCTGTAATCTGTACAATTAAATATTAAATAATATCAACAAAACCCGCATATGTATATGTAAATAATATTGTCGGAGTCCATATTATATTAAGTTTATGTTAACGTATGGAAGCCTGTTCTAATCTTCGGGCGAGCTTAGATGAGCTTGGGTGCGCTCGTATTTCTTTGGTTCCTCCATTACAACTATTCTCCGTTACGATCTCTTATTTCTCCTTTAGTTAATTACCAAATTCTTTCATATTTTATATTTAACTATTTTTATATTAGAGGTCAATGTGAAATGGTTAATTGTTTCAAATTAAAAAAAATTAAAGGTACTTTAGAGAAAGCTAATATTGGAAATTACCCATTTAAGCCCCATTAGAGAACATCAATGAGAATAAAACCTACACAGTACTAAAAACTGCTTAATTTTAGACTGATGTAATGAATTTAATCAAAATCGTAAGTCGTTTCAGAGAAAATCTTCAAAATGTGTTACATTAATGATATAAATTGCCACTTCGAGTTAGCTGATTTTGATTAAAATGTTGCTGTAATATCCCAGGCATATAAAAACCTTAAATATGCAATTTCACTTTTGTATGACTTTTCGTTTTTGAGCTAGATTGTTGACACAAACACACACACATACAGACCATTTTGCAGGACTTGGTTATTTGGAACACCTCAAAACGTATTTCTGTTTAAAACTGAGATTCAAAAATTTTCATGATCGCAATACTTTCCTTTTCTATATATTTCATATATAGATAAGTGAAAGTAAAAAAAAATATATTACTCATGATCTATGCTTACTTCTTAAAATAAATGAATTAGTTTGAGATTTTTGTTTTTCATTTTAGAGCTAATGAACTAAATTTATAATAATTTCTGTTAATGTTATACATATTTTACTTTTGAAATATTTGTTATCCATATCCATGAAATTTTCTTATATGTATATTTTATATGCAATGTTTGTCTATAACTTTTGTCACTGAATCGACTAAAATTTGAGTATTGAAATCAAATATTTTTGTTTATAACTAAACATTAATTGTAAGACGTAATCAAAGTTAAATATTGTTAACTTATATTCTTGAAGCAGAATAATTAGCAACAGTAAGGCATTGTCGCAGAACTAAAATGAGACCTACAGAAAGATATTTACTGTTTGATGGTTTTCTGGCAAAAAAATTCTAATGTTCATTTGATTGTTTTCTATTTTTCTTAACAATTTTATTATTTTTTTTAATTTGTTCACTCATTTCTCTACTTCAGAACATATCAGATATGAGCTAATTATTCTCATAACTATAAAAAATGATTCAATAATTTGTTAAAGTATGAAGCAGGACCAAAAAAGAGGACCAAATGAATCTATTGGAAGGATTATAGCAAATTCCTTTAAAGGTTACCAAATCCCAGAATTTTTAGCAGCCAAATTCCAAATCTTATATATTTTCAGCAGATGTTTTTTCAATAAACATTGTTTTTTCATAAATTTTTAGGAATTTTATATTATTATATTATGGATGCGATTTTAGGACCGAAAACAGAACAGTTAAATTAAAAAATATATATAACAATGTGTTAATAATAGTTTGCTCCCAAGAAGTTTTTTGTTTTTTTGAAACACTTTTGATGAAAATATTCTATTTTAGAGTTTTTTTATCACAATTCTTTCCTGTTATAATTCTCGTTGGATTAACTTATCCAATCAAAATGTAAAGTTACTGTTATTTAAGGACATACTAACTTTCAAACAATGGTGATATATTTTTAATGCTATCCATTACAAATTCATTACTTTAATTTTTAATATTTTCCACCAAAATTTCTTGATCCATATTTAATCTTTATTTTCAGAAAAAAATGTGCTTCTAAAACCTTAATTCATTAGCATTAAACTGCAAAATTGTAGAATTTTATCTCTGTTAATCAATGTTTTTAGTTATTAAAAATTTATATTATTTATTTTTAAATATTTTATTTTAATTTCTAGATTTCTGCTAATCTATTTCGGACTTTGCCGCCTAGTGAAAATCCTGACTTTGATCCTGAAGAAGATGACCCAACTTTAGAAGCATCATGGCCACACTTAACGGTATTATTTCTCATTGTAACTATGTTTATATTAATATACTTAACCATATGTTTTCATTGTTTAAACATATTTTATCGTTAGAAATAATATATGGTTATTTAGGAAATTATGCAGGACATTATTTTTTTTTTTTTTATTGTATAATCCTCTGTATATTCTTATGTATGAATACTGACACAAAAAATCTTGTTTCAAAGTTGAAGATTATAAGGTTTTATCGCTAAAAAGGTGAGATTTGTTTATTTTAGACATTGGAAGTTTTGAAAAAAAATAATGGAAAATAAATTCAAATTCTAGTTAAAGTTATTTATGAACCATTGTTGAGAAATAGACTCTTTAGAACTTGAGAAACAGACACCTTTACGTTTTGAAGGTATCACATCTTGCTAACCACTTCATAGTGATCAGAATTTATGAAATATAACACACTGAAATTTATGAAATATAAAGAAATTTAGTCGTATAGTATTCTAATCTTATTTTTGAGGTTTGGAGTTGTAAAATGGCCACTGACTCATTTTTTATTTCAAATATTATCATTCCTTAAACACCGAACTCAACAGACCCAGTTGTGTTCTCACCAACTCTTTTAGACTTAAAAAAATAATTATTTCTGAAACCTTTTGTAATCCTTTTTTAGAAGTATTCAAAATTATGTAAGTGTGTTCATCATGATCAAGGTGCATTAACTGTAAAAAAGCATTGTCTGGTTGATTAAATCTTGGTTAATTTCACATTTTTTTTTTAGAGGTTCCACGCTATTTTCTATCTTTTACTGCTAAACATGATAATATTCTGAACTAGTAAGAAATTATTTAGAATTATGAAAATTGTTTGTAAATATTTGGTTTTCTGCATAGTCTTTTTTGTTGTACTCTTAGATTATTCATCATCAATATATTATTTATTTTTATAAATTGAACATTATTTCATTACGTTAAATATCTATGAATGCTATATTTGTTCAAATATAAGTCGATTCTGAATATATGTTGACAAAATTTTAAAAATAAGTTTTAGGGATAAAATATGGGAGAGGAGAAAGTTAAACTACTTATCAGAAATCAATTTTCAAATTTAATACAAATATCTCGAAACTACCATGCTGCCCGGGAAAATTGTCCTTCGGGCTCTTGTTTTCTTTCAACTGTCCTGTAATTAGGTACCACATAAACAAATTTCATCATGACATCTTAAAAATATTATAATGAAGCTTAGAAATTGGAACATAGCTACCTAAATTGAAATTGAGGAATTGAGTTTTTAAACTTTTTAGGAAATATATGATCAGTAATTAAATGAAAAACTTTTTAAATTGTCAATATTAATTAAAGATCTCTAATATATGTTATGATGATATACTGATTCACCTTTTTAATTCCTGAACTCTAGAAGGTGATTCTAAACCAAATTTCCTACAGCAAAAAATTTATGCAAAGTTGCCTTTTTTCTAAGGTGGTCACATTTTTTATTGAACACAAAGGGTTTGCTGAAAGACTGTTAAAAATTAGACACTTGATTAATTAGACAAATTTTTCTTTGAGAGAATAGTGATTTTCTTTACTGAAGTCATTGATTAAAGGACTTTCTGTAGGTCTAATAATGCAAAGTTGTATTTCTTGATAAATCAGAGGTTTCTTGTGTATTAAGTTATGAAATAATTTAATTTTAATAGGAAAAACATTCTAAGACAGAGGTTTTGAATCTTTGTGGGGTTAGGTACTCATTTAATATCCTTCTCTAATTAATGCTGGTGGATGAATCGGAAGGTCAAACTACACATATTATATTGATAGATTGGAAGGTGTTCATGTGTCTACTTACTTGTACTACATGTGTCTTACTAATGATCTTTTGTCAATATTCTTATCTAACTGTAATAAAACAATTTTTTATTGTCAGTTATTGTTTAATATTACAAGTGCTAAACCACTGCCATGCTGAATTATTTCATGAATTGGGAATACCAAGCTACTTGATGCTGCTTAATGCTACTTGTGTTTGAATATTGTAACTGCAGCAGTGCAGTGTCAATAGCCAAGTGTACTCATAATTTCTCAGGTTGGCAGCTTCCTACTTGGGGTTGAGGTGGCCGATTGGGTTAATGCATTGCCCAACAACCTATTAAACTGAAGATTACGAGTTTGAGTCCTGGTGCTAGGGGCTTTTAACTCTGACATTAATCCCCCACCCTCTCCCCTTCCTTGGAAAAACTGTATAGCTAAGAAGGCGAGGTAAAGGAGAAAAAAAAAAAAAAAAAATCAGCAGATTCCAACAAAAGTACATTTGTGACGACGAGCCATACATAGGAGAAACAGGTATGGCTTCACAAAGGAAGACCTCTTTTGGAGATCATTAGAATGTTTGCGTTTTAGATACATTATCAATATATTTATTTATATTATTGTTATTTTACATGAGTAATTTATCTTGAAAAGATGAAAAATAACAATTATTTTCTATTGTGCTCTTTTCTGATTCGAATTTTCTAAAATAAAATAAATTCTTTTTTTATTTACCAACTAGTTGTGTCATTTTTAAGCTCCCTGAACTATCTAGTTAGAAAAAAAAATTCCCAATTCCAATTTATGAAATTTTAAAAAGTTTTAATCATATTGCCCACCTTTTTAATGTATTCGCTGACTACAAACTACATCACCCTAAAGGAAATTTAACACTCTTTCAGTGTTGAACTACTTCGGTTTTATAGTGAGAGATAGTGAAAATAAAGAAACACAACTTTTCTTGTACTATTAGACCTCCAGAAAGTCACTTTTATTAATGACCATAGTAAAGTAAATCACTATTTTCTCAAAGAAAATTTTGTCTACTTTATGGTAGTATACTTGGAATTTAATTATCTTGAGCAATCCCTTCTTATTCTATAAAAAATGTGATTTCCCCCTTGGAAAACACAAAATTGAACATCTTTTCCGTTCAGAATCGGACTATGCATAAAATGAACTTTGTTAGAAATTTGTCTGGAATTGCCTCCCAGAGTTTGACCATTGAGAATGGAATCACCCTCTAGGGTTCTTATGCTCTGTTCAAAAATAACCATTATTGTTTTTGTGTATTCTTTTATGACTAAGAAGGCATATAAAATTACATTATGTTTTTAGTAAGATTACACTACTAGGAATTTTTAACAATGCAGTCATGAGTTTTTACAGATTATTTGATTTATGAGATATGTTTAGTCATCATATTACTGTTAACTGATGACACCATGGGCTTTAACTATTTTAAAGTATCCATTCTTTTTCTGCAATATGGCTTTTGATGAATCATACTTAAGCATAATGCTTAGTGGCCTATGGTATAGACTAGGGGTCTCCAAACTATGGCCCGCAAGGACCTTCAATCTGGCCCTTAACGTTTCATTATATGTGATAAAAATTTTAAAATAAAAATTACTCACACATGAAGTTACTACAACATTTATTGCATGGATTTTTTTCTCTTAAAAAGCTCATTTCATAGCTGAAGTACCACTTATAGGACAAGTTTTTTTTTTTTATCACAAGTCGTGACCTGTGGGACTTGGATAAAGATCTCAATCTGCCCTGTGGGACTTTATAGAGGTCTCAATGTGGCCCATTGGCAAAGTTTGGAGACCCCTGGTATAGACCACGCTGGCCTTCTTCTCAGTTCTTAGCCATATTCTTGAGTCAGATTGCAGAGCATTTAGTGTCGTATCCTATCTTATAGGCCACTGAATGAACTCTGAATACTTAATGTCTATCAGATAGTATTGATTTGAAATAACATTTGGATGATTTTTAGTGTTTCCTTTCTTTCCAATTGGTTCAAATCTATTGTGGTGTAACAGTTATGGCAAAGTTTTTACTCAAGGCTCTAAATGTTTAAGGGTTAAAAGTATATCATCTTACATTACATTTGGACAAATTATTTCTCCTCAAAATGGGATAATAGGTGAACGAGTTATCACTTATTGTCAATATGAACTTTATTAAGTCTTTCATGGTGAAAGTAGAAAGGAAAATTAATTATAAAATGATTTAATAGCCCCAAGTTTGATCATAAAATGTTCCTAGGTCAAATGAACCTGTAATGTGAACCCTCATTTTATCGGGGAAAAAAAATCATTAAAAAAACACGACTTGTGTACTCAGGCCAATTCTGTAATCACAAAATAATTATTTTTTTAGTTAGTATCATTGTTTTCAAAATTTTACATAAGTCCATTGAATAAAACTAGTTAAGTATGTATGATTAAATAACAAAGTAATTATTTTTCAGCTAGTATACGAAATATTCTTGAGGTTTCTGGAATCATCTGATTTTCAACCATCAATAGGAAAGAAAGTTATCGATCAAAAATTTGTTCTTCAGGTAACAATTTTTAAAAAAATTTAAGTTAATCTTACTCTTTTAGTCTTTTGGTAGCTGTTATTAAATTTACTCTTAATAACCTAAATCTGGTAAAAGGGTAGTTTTATGTTGTATGTAGTGATAAAACTAAGTCTAATGAAATATAAATGCAGTAATTTATATTTGTTATTGTTGATTATTTTAATTTTGTCTAGAGTATGTGCACTGGATATGGTTCATAACGACACCAATTGTAATGACTTATCAGCTTTTACGACGAAAATGTCAGGTCCAGTGATCCATACACCATAATAACATAGCTTTTAATCGATAATGCGACCACTGGTGACTAATTAAACATTGCGTCTTGATTTCTCAATAACATGATTGGATATAGCGATAAATGTCTCAGAATTTCTAAAACCTTTGTAAACATCGCTTTCCTAGGAAATCGACTATTTCATTCCTGTTCTATGTTAACATCACAAATCCAGATTATCTAAAGTTTATTAAAGTTGCATTTTTATCACAAAATATGTCTTGCTTGTTTTGAACTATTGACCAGAATGTTATCCAAAATATGGAAAAGAATTACCAAAAGCACCTGTTCACAAAATTTCTGCAGAAAATTGAACTAGAGCAGGAAATGAAAATCTGTTTTAAATGTAATCATATTGGATAAAACTTATGGAGTGATGTTTAGGCCACTTAATGTCATTTTCTTACATTAAATTCAAATAGATAAATTTCACACGAGTTTTTATTTTTAATCATTGATGGAATCACCCTCATAATCTACAACCTTTTACCATCTAGTGTGCAAATTTTCAATGCAGGATCTATAAAAATCAATTTGTTTTTGTGCAAAATACATAGAGATGGACATCATTGTTGAAACGATCCAAACAAATGGAAATCTGATGGTGCAACATTGGGCGAGTATGGTGGATGAAGCAGTATCTTCCACCCGGTTTCAATCATTTTTTCCTGGGTTTGTCTTATGCAGTAAGATCTTGCATTTTTGTATTGCAGAATAACGCCTTTTCTGTTGACAATCGCTGACCATTTTTCAATTATAGATTGATTTACACTATCCAATTGTTCATAATAAAGGTCTGCATTCACAGTTTGTCCAGATTTCAGCACTTCAAAATGAACTACTTCACCAAACACAGAAAAATTTTTTTTGGGATATAAACCTGGCTTAGCAATGCAATGCTTCATGGCGATTCATTTTTTAGAGAACCACTGCCTTTGTGGTTTGGATTATCTTAGAGGACCCATTATACATCTCCGGTGATCAAGCGATCAAAAACGCTTCTGTATTGTGCCGTTGAAGCAATAAGTTGCATATGGTGGTTTCCCAATCTGCTGCAAATATTCTTATATGGTCGACCAAGATTGGTAATGACTGTTTGACTATTCCTCAATTGTCTGACACTGATTTGCTTCGACTACCACCCTTAACAGGGCATTGTCTAATGTTGTTGGTCTTCCTGATCTATACGAGTTGGAAACATCAAAATTACCGGATTTGAACTTGAAAAACCACCTTTGACATTTATAAATGTCATTTATTTTAAATGCATGTGTAATGCATTTGGATAAACATCGCAAATATTTTTGGTAGCAACTGTTGTGTTACTACCCGTATGAAACTCATAGAATGCTGGATAGGTACCTCTTCTGGTATTTGGCTGGCCATTTCACCAAATATTGCAAAAAAAACATAATTTTAATTTAATTATTTGCAACTAATTCACTATGACCTTAGAATGTCTTTGCCATGGGATACGAGGGTGGTCTGAAAAGTTTCCGACTGCAACGTGAAGGTGGCAGTACTCATAAATAAAAGCAAGTAAATTTTGTTGTTCATCTGTTGACAGTTACCCACTAAAGTTTCAGCCATTTTGGATGCGCAGTTTTTATGTAACAGTTGTTTCAGTGAGTTGATGTGAGTATTTTTGAAAATGGATAAAATTGAGTATCGAGCTGTCATTAAATATTTGTCTTTGAAAGGCAATATGCCTACGCAAATCAAAGATGAGTTGGATTCTGTGTATGGGGACTCTGCACCACAGTGAAATTTTGGGCAGCTGAATTTAAACGTGAGCTTAAGAGCTTGGGTGACGTCGAACGTTTGGGACGTTCAAAAACTGCAACTATTGACGAAAACATTGCTAAAGTTCATCAAATGGCGCTAGATGATCGCCGAATTAAAGTATGAGAGATAGCAGAGGTTATGGACATGTCAAAAAAAGTGTTTGTTACGTATTAAATGAACATTTAAATATGAGAGAAAGCTTGGGTGCCGCGTTTGCTCACGTTAGACCAAAAATATGTTCAAATGAACATTTCCAACGCTCTGTTGGCGCAGTTTAGGCGCAATAAATTCGAGTTTTGGCACCAATTAATTACTGTAGATGAAACTTGGTTACACCATTATACGCCCGTAACAAAAATACAGCCCAAACAATGGACTGCAAAGGGGGAACCGTCTCCCAAAAAAGCAAAAACTGTTTTCTCGGCTGGGAAAGTGATGGTGACTGTTTTTTGGGATAATCCTGGATTTACTTTAATTGTCTATTTTCAAAAAGGAAAAACCATTACAGGAGCATACTACGCATCATTACTTGACAAGCTGAAGGCGGAACTTGCGAAAAAATGACCACATTTGCAGAAAAAGAAAATCCTGTTTCACCAAGCAACACACCGTCTCACACCTCAGCGGTTGCCATGGTGAAACAGGATTTTCTTTTTCTGCAAATGTGGTCGTTTTTTCGCAAGTTCCGCCTTCAGCTTGTCAAGTAATGATGCGTAGTATGCTTCTGTAATGGTTTTTCCTTTTTGAAAATAGACAATTAAAGTAACTGACTGTGGTTGTTATAACCAATATGCTTTTAAAAAGTTGATTGGCTTTAACAACAAAGTTTACTTGATCTGTTTAAAATTGTTATAAATGATATCCAGTGTATTTAAACTTGTATGTGTGCTAATATTTATATATTAAATATAGTAAAATATATATTTCTATTCATTTTGGTTTGTTTAATCTTTTATTTGATTTATTCTATTATGTAGATGTTCTTTTAGTACATATCTTATATTTTATGATGAATTGTAATTTTGTTTGTTTTAGCTTTTGGAACTGTTTGATAGTGAAGATCCTAGAGAAAGAGATTTTCTGAAAACAGTTCTACATCGTATTTATGGGAAATTTCTAGGTCTCAGAGCTTTCATTAGGAAACAGATTAATAATATATTTCTCAGGTATTTTTTCCCCTTTTTTATCTATAAATTGGGAAATTATTGCTTTCAATGTTCAAATTTGTTTTAATAGTTTGATATGTAGTAAATTATCTTATTCATGTCTGATATTCATGTTAGGAGAAATTACATTTTAAAAACAAAAGTTGGCTTATTGGAAATCTTCTTAGTAACTATACAAATTGCTTGTGTGATTATTCTGTTTTTGTTTTATCACATATTGTTACTCTTCTTTTTAATTTAGATATATGCGTGTACAAATACACACACACAAATATATGTATTATTTTTTTCTCCTGTTGACTAAACAGACTTTTTGGATCATTTGTCACCTTAACCATCTTTCTTCATCTTTGCCTATCTTGAGCTATTGCTTTGCAGTTATCTAAATGCAGCTCTGCAACAGCTTTGTTGGTCTATACATCTTGTTTTTGGCCTTCCATGTATTCTCTTGCCTATAAAGGCATTCATTGTGTTGAGGTTTCCTAATAGATTTTTTTTTTTTTTTTTTGCACTGTGGCCTAGTCAGGTGTATAAGTGGAAAATCTTACAAACTATTTTTTTAGAGAATATAAATTTTTATATTTTATTTGAAAAATGAGGTAGCCAAAACCGTGAAAAAATAATTAAAAATTGAATTATATTTAAACCCAGACTTTAAACAGTCAATGATTTATATTTTTAAAATTATTATATTTATTTTTCTGCTTATTTATCTAAATAAAATGTATGTTGCACATTTTTATTTCAGGTTTGTTTATGAAACTGAGCATTTTAATGGAGTAGGCGAATTACTTGAAATTTTAGGGAGGTAATAAAAGTAGATTTACTATTTACTGTTATTATGAAAGCTGCATCTGTTAATTCATCTTTAAAATTATTTCAGTATTATTAATGGTTTTGCTCTACCACTTAAGGCTGAACACAAACAGTTTCTGGTAAAAGTTTTAATACCTCTTCATAAAGTGAAATGTTTGTCACTTTACCATGCCCAACTGGCTTACTGTGTTGTTCAGTTTCTTGAAAAAGATGCAACCCTTACTGAACCAGTTGTTCGAGGTTTATTGAAATACTGGCCCAAAACCTGTAGTCAGAAAGAGGTATACATTTATCTGTGATTGTTTTTTTTACATTTTTAATTTGATTCTTTTCCTTTTATTATCGAATTCTAATTTCTAGGTTATGTTCTTGGGAGAAATAGAAGAAATTCTGGACGTCATTGAGCCGTCTCAGTTCGTGAAAGTGCAGGAGGTGCTATTTAGACAAATAGCTAAGTGTGTATCCAGCCCACATTTTCAGGTATAAATCTTGTTCTATGTACATACTACGTTAAAGCTTATTATATGAAGAGTTGATTGTTTTGTTATTGATTTAATATAACTTATTTTCATTGTATTTACTATTTTATTACTTTATGATGAGCTTTTTTATCTACTATCTTAATTGAATTCTGTGGCAATTAGACATCTTTGTCTCTATTAATAATCATACTTAATATTTTTATAGAACCAATATTTGATAATAAATTTAATTAATGTTAAAATATTATCATGCTTTATTTGTATCATTTTTTAAATTGTTATACTGTAAACCTTAAATAATAAATTAACTAATTTGTACATTAATATGTATTTATTTAGTTTTTAGTAGTATTTATTTATATTAAATTATTGTAACTTTTTTTAGTCATTTTTAATTCAGTTTTTATGATAAGGAAACAAACATGTTTATTTATTTATTTTTTATATTCAATTTAAGGTAGGACATATTAAACAATATAAATAAATAAATCTAAAAATATTTTATGTACTTCAATTTAAATGTTTACATCAGACCATAAAAAAAACAAATATATATAATTTTTACTTGATAACATGAAATACAAGTTTGATTACAAAACAACACAAGTTTACAATAAAAAGCGATTGAAAAAAGCGTAAAAACTAAAATATTGGGTGGATCCATAAGTTTATTTGTTTTTTGTTAGTAGTGCTAATTGTTTTCAAATATATCCAGTTCTCTTTGCCTTATTTGTCAATAATGGTACTTATTGGAAAGGTCAAAGTCCGCTCTTTGAAACTGTTATGTTGGGTTTCATTGGCATTAGTTTTGTTTGTGCTACAGCGTAGTGAATATGTCGAATGATAAAGTATTAGGCATATTTTGCTTTTTTATTTTAAAAAAATCAAGCAAGCTTCAGAGGCCCATCAAAAGATATGTAAGGTATACGGGGACGATACATTAGCAGAACTTAATGCTCAAAAATGGCTTGCCAAGTTTCATTCTGAAGATACAAGTCTCGAAGATGTACCCCGCAGCGGTCATCCCACCGACTTTGATTCGAGTGTTATCAAGGCTCTAATTGAACAAGACTGGTCGCTACAGGTATGAGAAATTGTTGAGACAATGAAAATAGGCAATGAATACTGTAGCCGTTCAAAGGCATTTAAAACAGCTTGGCTACATGTTCCACCTCAATTTTTGTGTATCACAAAAAAATAACTTAGGCAAACCTGGCCAACTGAATATTAATCTGCAACTCTCTTCTGAACCTGTACGAAAGGGAGCTATTTCTCAAATGAATAGTGTCTGGTGACAAAAAGTGGATCATCTACAACAATGTAGTGTGCAGAAGATTGTAGAAAACTGCTGACGAGCCGCCTAGTGCCACCCTGAAGGCCAGTCTACACCCGAAAAAGATTTTGCTCTCCATATGATGGGATTATCGTGGCATACCATTTTAAGTGTTGCTTTCACAAGGAAAAATGATTGATTCGAAGATCTAATACACGCAGCTAGTGAAATTGTACCAATCATTTTAATATTTATATCACTGTAATCTATACAATTAAATATTAAATAATACCAACGAAAACATTTAGGAAAACCGCATATGTATATGTACATAATATTGTCGGAGTCCGTATTATATTAAGCTCATGTTACTATGGAAGCCTGTTCTAATCTTCGGGTGAGCTCTGCGCGCTCATATCCCTTTGGTTCCTTCATTACAACTATTCTCTGTTATGATCTCTTATTTCTCTTTTAGTTAATTATCAAATTCTTTCATATTTTTTATGTTAGAGATCTATGTGAAATGGTTAATTGTTTTAAATAAAATTAATTAAAGGTACTGTAGAGTAAGCTAATATTGAAAATTAAACATTTAAGCCCTGTTAGAGAACATCAATGATAATAAAACCTACCTAATATTAAAAACTGCTTAATTTTACACTGATATAATGAATTTAATCAAAATTATTGGAGCCATTTTCAATAAAATAGCAAAAATCTGTTACATCGATGATATAAACCACCACTTCCGATTAGCCGATTTTGACAAAAAAGTTGCTGTAACATCTCAGGTATATAGAAACCTTGAATATGCAATTCCACTTTCATTTGACTTTTCGTTTTTGAGCTTGACCTGTCACATACCTACAGTAACACGCATACACATCATACCATGTGGGGCTTGGTTATTTGGACTCAGGATACCTTAAAACATATATTTCCGTTAAAAACTCAGATTTGAAAATTTTCACGATTGCAATACTGTCCCTTCCTATAAATTTCATGTATAGGTAAGTGAAAGTAAAAATTTATTCTTTGTAAAAACAAATTTTTATTTCACCCTTCAAAAAACTAACGAACTTATGGATCCACCCAATATTAAAAGCAATAAATTAATCACTTCTTAAAATTTATTGTAATCAGATTTGTCTTACCGATGATACGAAATGCACACGCTCAATTACATGATGTGCTTTGCTAGTGTATTTTTTATTCTGGAAAATGTTTTCTTAATGTATATATTTATTTCCTTTCCACACACGACATCTTCACATGATATTTTAACAACTTCAATTGAACCACAAACACCAAAAATATCCAAGAAAATCTTAAAAGTGTAACACAAGTGGGTGTGTGGCGCACTGTGTGCCTCAACAGTTTTCAAGGAAAAAGTACTGGGGGGTTTTAAGGGTCAGAGGCAATTAAGAAGGTAGCAGAAGAACAATAAGGGTTAGATAAACGAATACCTGTGATTACCACGACACCTGGACACTTTAAAGATTTGAAAGGCTGAAAACCTAGGCTGGTACATTCTGTATGCCAGTGTGCCCAATGGGAGGTTATTACATTTGTTAATCTTATTTTTATTAGTTCTAACCATCATAAAAAAATGGCTGAAACATTTTAATTATATGTATATTTTTGTGTTTTAGGTCGCCGAGAGGGCTCTTTATTTCTGGAACAATGAGTATATTATGTCCTTAATGGAAGAAAACAACCATGTTATCATGCCTATCATGTTCCCTGCATTGTATAGAATAAGTAAAGAACATTGGAATCAAACCATTATTGCACTGGTTTATAATGTTCTTAAAACTTTCATGGAAATGAATAGCAAACTTTTTGATGAATTAACCTCTTCTTATAAGGCTGACAGACAAAAGTAAGTAGGCAGTATTAAGTTACTATTTTGAAAATAAGACCATTATTCTGTATTCTAAAAATAAGATAGATTTCTATCAAGTGAAATTTATTTTTAATTCAATGCTTTGTATAATTATTAAGCATTTTTATGTATAATGTTAAAGGCTCAGGCATGTAGAATTCGATTTTTCATGGTGATCAAGTTCTTTTTTATGACTTGCAGTAATATATATTATTTTCTATGTTATTGTGACAATGCAATAGATGGATACAGAATATTATCTGACTGTCAGCCTGTCACGGGAAGAGATCACAGATTGTGTTCTGTTTGTCTGAGCTTTTAGTCATCGACTATAAACTAAAAAGATGTTTCTATACGTTATGGAATTATCTATATTCATTATGGTAGTATTGTTTCCGTAATGTAGTGACAGATTACCCTTATCTTGTTTATCAGTCTCATTTGGTCACATTTGATTTTGTTTTCATCACTATTTACATAAATTTCTTAAAGAACAGGATAATCAAAGATAATGTACAGATAATGCATGAACCATTCACTGCCATTAGACCATCTACCATTAATGTTTACTTTTCTGAATTCCCAGAAATGTGAGTATTTAGTACTTAGTGTGCTTTAAAATAGATTTTTATGTGCTATCGAATTGAGAAAAAAAATAAAACAGCTAAAAAAAAAAATATTGTCATTAAAAGTACTTTGTACTATAATTGAGGACAGTTGTTTTGAAATTTTATAGAAGGTTTTGTATTTTACTGTTATTGCTCACCTAAGTCAGCTGACATTTACTTAATTATAAATTCCAGCAGTTTAATTAATTTTACTGTATCACCTAAAGAAAATACTTATTTTATTGAATTCATTTTATTACAAATAAGGGTTTACTATTTAATGTGAAATTCTGTTTTCTTTTTTACTATGGGTTTTAAGTTAATGCTTTTAGTTTTTAAGATTATAATAATCATTTTTTTTTTTCATTCAATCTTTCCCTCTTAAATTGTTGAATTTTTAAGATTGTTTTTTATCTATGAAGTTTTGAATATGTCATGATAGTTTGATATCGTTTTTCTCCATTCTCATAACATATGATGGAATGAGTGAACAGTGGTTTATCTTGAAACACCTACTCGCTCGTTGCAGCACACCCTATATTATTTAATTTCATCTCAAGATAAATTGCATATACTTAAAGTAAATTGTTATTTTCTTGAAAGGCTGATTTTATTAAGGAAAATATTCAGTTAATTCTTTAAGGATACTTGATAATTAAATTTCTTGAGTATTTTGCAAATCTGGCATATTTATTATGTTAACTTTTCAAGGCCTACTATCAGGATTATATTGGGAATTCCGCTTTGTTATGAAGCGTTGGGAATATCTGAGAATTTCCTGGGAATTTTGAAAAAGTTGGCAAATTTATTATTAGTTTTAAACTTTAATTGTTATTAATTACAATTAAAAATAAGTTGCATTTTTCAAAATTATATATCACATCTGAATATTTATCTATCAAAACTTTCATATGTATGTTTGAACAAAACAATAAAGATTTAGAAAATTGAAGCTCTTGTCATTTTAAATGGTAATAAATGGGAAATCCTGCTTAGTGCAATCTTTGTTTTAAGCAAACTTTCAGTGAACTTACTTAGCACTCTTAGCTAGATAACTGTTTAGTACATCCCGAAGAGAAAAAAAGTAATCAAGAAAATAATATTTTTTTAGCGCATGCATATAAAAACTTTATGACACAAAAAGTTATCATTTTATAATAAATTATATCTGCAGCTGTGAATAACAGGTTAGTTGCAATTTTGTTGATTTTGAATATGTGATGGAACATAAATCGAGTATTTTTATTTTTGGAATTTTCTCCAGCAAACTAATGGTTTGGCCTATATTTAATACGTTAGCTGCTGAGCATGATATCTCTTAAATGTCCTTCCTGACAATAGTTATGAAGTTCCTTACGGCATCAGACATTGGAGACTTACATCAGTTTCGAGGTATACTGCTATCTTTTGACAACAGATGTAAACTTAATTCATTCCCTACTCAGTGTCTCTGTTGATTATGTCCTCAATAGGAGTGGGCTAGGACATCCGATGCCGTTTATATGACTAGTCTTTTATTATTTGTTTTAATTTCAATAAAAAAAATGTTATTTTTAGAGATAAATCTTAAATATTGAAAATGAAATGAGAAAAAGTTTATTTATTACATATAATTATAATTTTCATGGTATAATTTATACATTATTAGTGTAATACTTTTCAATGTCAAGATAAAAATGGAATATAAAAAATCAAGTTATATAATAAGTACATATTGTGACAATGCAAGAAAAATATAGCTAAATAGAGGGTACTCACTATTGCATTGGAATTTATTTTAAGAAAAGGGAAAATGAAAGTGAAGTATTAAGTTGCTAACTGCTCGTGATACTGATTGAAGTGCAGAAAACAGAATCCGGTCATACCATCATAGTCCTCACAGAAACTAATGACTTTCCTTGTTTTCTTATTTGCCTCCTTACTTCCTAGGGTCTTTCTCAGTTCTCTTTAGCATTCTCTGCACTGCTTTGCTATTTTCTTCCCTGAAGGATTAATAAAAGAATGGACACGATATATCAGACGTGATGAGGGTGGTTGGCACTGAGTTGTGAGTTTATCAGCTAGAACCGATCGGAACTTTGTATTTGTTTTGGGTTTTTCTTTTATCATGTTAAAGATGATTCAAGAAATGATCATCGACGTTTCAAACATTATCTCAATCACCATGCATGTGCACTCCACTCATGGTAGGAATATGTATCGGTCGCTGGAGGTTGATACCGTAAGGAAATCTTTTTTTATCTGTCTGGTACAGCATCGATCCCCGGCGTCCTACAGCTTTATCTTAGATATAATGATTATTTACGTTTGTATCTTTGCATCTATCCAACTCCCAATCAAATATTTTTAAAAATGAGCATTTTAGAGACTTCGTAAGATAGACGAAATTCGAAACTATCCTGGCCGCTTGGCAGTCGAGACGAATATCGGACCCCGGTGACCGTAACCACAGCTAACGTGTTAAGAGTGATTTATATTCAGATTCTATCTATGAAAATTTGAGTTTGGCTAAAGTAAGCGCTTTTAAATTAAACTTGTAAGTGTTTATTTTCATTCCTGATTTTGTGATTGGTGACTAAACAGAGTTTGTGTAAGTCGTTACTGTTTCACTTATTACAAATTTCGGAGAAATAAAATTATTCAAAGCAGAATCAGGGTTAATACAGATGTTCAAGGAAAATCTAATGTTCAAACTAAGATTGAGAACAAAAACGAAGATTACATAGCACCAAAATAGAAGAGTAGTGGAGGTAAATTGTATCTAAAATTAAATTAAGTAAATAATAAGAGCCATTTTGGTACCATTATGTCTGTCAAAAATTAAGGTAAGTTCTTGGGAATCCCAAAATTTTATTTCATTTTAATTATTCACCCTCTCATTATTATTCGGTCATATTTTATTTATAATTCATTATTGTATTGGTAAAACGTGTTAATAGTCTCCCTACCTGAGACTGCTGTAAATTCACCTTTATGGAATTTCCATATTCCATTTCAAATACAGCTATATAAACCTATTCCGTGAAAAACTTATCCAGTAATCTTTCTGAAATTATATTCAATTTTTGTTATTGTATTATTTTTCTTGTAAAAGTATATAAACCAAAATCACGAGTACTAGTGTGTTGTGTTATAAGTCAAATTTTTCATCCTGAAAACTCAAACATTTAGTAATACAAAAAAAAAAAAAAAGATTAGATAAAAGAATAAAGTAAATATTATAAATAATTAAAATGTTGAACATAAACAAAATATTTTTATTTTTCTCCTGCATCGTGGCGGTTTGCAATCAATGAAGGCGGGATTTGGTTGAGAGGTCTACTGTATTAAGGAGTATTATTTCGATAGTGCACATTTCTTCACAAAATTTCCTTTACTTGCTCTTCTTAAGTGGACATCATAATAGGACATGGTGATTATAATGAAACTATGGGACAAGAATAAAAAAAGTTTTAAGTCCTGTTGTATCAGAAAATTTATTTCTTATTTCATGAGCCATGAATTTTCTCCTGGTTTAGGAAATAATTACACGGCACACCCACCCTCTATAAAGTAGGTATATCATAAACCTTCAAAAAGTTGTAAGGAAAAATCCAGTTGCCAAACGTGTATGGTTATCACATCACTTTCATGTATTGTTGGTTAAAAACAATACTTCTCTAGTAAGTACAGGTATTCCTTGAGTTTTATGCTTAATATATGTTGAAATTGTAGTTAAACAATATGTACCCTGTAGTGATAAATAATGCAGCTTAAAAAAAGGTTATTTCGTTCTTGGTGTATAAATATCTATGCAATGAACAACTGAATTACTTTAAAGATGTATATGTTCTAATATTGTAATTTTATAATTTAAGAGAACATGCATTTACAAGTAATTGCATAAAAAATACAATATAAGAACTACTTGATGTTGCATTCAATATTATTCCAAAACTTATTTAATTCTAGTGCAGGTCGCTTTGTGGTTTGAATAGATCTATTTTTGTTAAATACTCCAATTTTGTTGTCACATTTAGGTCATGTTCTTTATCTGTTATGAAAAGTTTACGAGTTGATATATCCTCAAAATTGAATTTACTTTCATATCTGATAAGGTCTGAAGTTTACTTTATTTATATATTACTCGAAGTTAGGTGCTCTATTATATCATCTTCATGCTAAGGTTGTTAAGCATCTGGATCTGCTCATGCATTTTCTTCTGGTAATTTTATGCTAAGCAATGGACAAGTTTTGCTAACATTCAGTTTGCTAACTAATGTTTATCGTAAATTATTGTGTCTTTTATTCTGCAGTAGTGTAGTGGCCTTCCTCTATGATTGTATATTTACTTTCACTTACCTATATATGTAATATAATGTGAAAATTTTTGAATCTGAGTTTTCTATATAATCAAGTCACGCAAACTGGTCTGTGTGTGCTATCCGCCTAGCTCAAAAACAAAAAGTCTTTGGGAAACTGGTATTAGGTATTTAAGATAGGTATATGCTTGGGATGTTACAGCAACTTTTTCCTGAAAATTGGCTAACCAGAAGTGCCACTTTACATAATTGATTTTCCACATTTTTAGTTTTCTCGAAAACTGCTTTAACGATTTTGATTAAATTAATTTATATCGGTTTAAAATTAAGCAGTTCTTAATATAATGCAGATCTTATTCTCATTGATTCTCTCTAACAGGGCTTAAATGTCTAATTTTCAAAATGTCTTCCCCCAAAGTAGCTTTATTTTTTTAATTTGAAATAAGTAACCATTTCACATTGTGTCTCGGCTATGAAAAATGGTTAAATATAAAATATGAAAGAATTTTATGATTAGATAAAGGAATCATCATCATCATCATATGTGGCGCGACATCCCGTCATCGAGATTGGGCCTCCTCCAATAGCTTCCGCCAGTTTTCTCTTTCTTCTGCTGCAGCTCTCCAGTTCCGTACCCCAAGCAGGGTTCTCGCATAATAGGCCACACTGTTCAACCATCTCGTCCTCGGCCTTCCTACCCGTCTTGCTAGGTGCAGCTCCTCCATCATTACTTTCTTGAGTATTTCAAAGGCACTCATTCTGGCCACATGCCCTGTCCACCTTAGTCTGGCAAGTTTAATATAGGTAACTATGTTGATGTCTGTATAAAGAGAACTGAGCTCCATATTTTTTCTTTTCCTCCAGACATCACCCTCCTTTACTGGACCATAAATCCTTCTGAGGACTCCTCGCTCGAACACACTCAGCTTCATCTCATCACTTTTCGTCATCGTCCAAGCCTATGAGCCATATGTCAAAACAGGCCGTACAAGAGTCTTGTACATGATCAGCTTGGTCTTCTTTGAGAGATACCTACTTCTTAAGTGTCGTCCAAGCGCAAAGACACTTGTATTGGCAGCTGTGATCCTTCTCTGTATTTCTTGAGCCCTGTCATTTTTGTTATTTATTTCAGACCCAAGGTATATAAAACTTTTTACTCTCTCAAACTTAAAAGAACCTATCTCAAATGGAAAGTTCAGATCCACCTCACCACCAACTCTCATATACTTAGTTTTCCTCTCGTTGACTTCTAGACCAAGTCGTCTGGCAGCTGTTTCAAGGGCTATAAACGCTTCTCTGAGAGCCCGTTCAGACCTTACTATTGTGTCAATATCATCAGCAAAACCAAGAAGCTGTGTCAGGCGATTGAAGATTATATCGCTGGTCTGAATACTGGAATCTCTTACAGCTTTCTCCTCTGCCAAGTTGAATAATAGACAGGCGAGGGCATCCCCTTGCCTAACCCCACTGCTCACTTTAAACTCTTCGGAGGCATCAGAACCGACAAGATAAAGGAATAAATAATTATAATAAAAAGAAATAAGAGATCTTGATGGAGAAACGAAGAATCCCGAGCTTAGTCGAAAGGTTAGGTTAGAAAGGTTTCCATACATAACATGTGTTTAATAAAGTACGGGCTTCAATATTATTGTTATTATTACATATACTTGTACATGTGCAGTTTTCATAAATGCTAGTGTTGGTAATATTTGTTATTTAATTGTATAGATTACAGATTTATAGATAATCTATTAATAACACAGATTAATCATGATTATGATTTGTTTGTTGATTGGTTATTAAAAAAACATATGTTCATACAATTATTAATACTAACTTGTTATTATCATTGCACGACAGCTGCCATGGATAAATATGTTATGAATACCTTTTATGGCACAATAATGTACTAAAGATCATATATCAAACCTTGGCTTTAAAATATCAACTAATTAACATTTACCACCCATTATATAATTATCAACCAGAAGCAATATTGCACTAAACCCATACTATAATTAATCAAATGCTTCACACAATAGTTCAGACATTTTACTTAATAACAGCAGGGTAAGAAAACCCCATATATCATCAAATCGTTTAAAAAAATAAAGAAATTTTAAGGATCTGCTGAAAACAATAGGTTAAAAATCATTTTTAGTCATATATCATATTATACTTGCTAGTGGAAATAAAAAAGTGCTGATAGTTTTCTCCAGCAAGCTTCTAAGGAAACCCTAAACTTAATAAAGGCCCGAGAACTTTATAATGAAGTAAAAGTAGTTGAAAAGTGGTATTGTTGAGAATATTGTTAATTTTTTTTAATATAGATAATTTTTTCATTTAACAGATCCTTGACCTGGATCAGGTAGGGAGTTTACTTGATATAAAAAGTATAAAAAACACAAACATAATACTGATGCATTTTATAATAAGCTTGGATGTATAAATATAGACCCACACATACATATACTATATGTTTTTTTTCTGTTTTTTTTTTCTAGGGAGAAGAAGCGTGAAAAAGAAAGAGATGAGCTTTGGAAAAAACTGATGGATATAGAAAATACATGCAAAAAACGTGAAATGTTTAAAAAATGATAAATACATAGATGGTGTCATTTCTTATATAATTGGCTGTCAATCTTTTTGATCAGCTTAGCGATGGATTCGTGCCATCTAACATTAAATATTCTAAATTTGAAATCATTATTTTCGGTAATAAAATAGTGTTACATTTTTATAATTAAAAATATTGTTGTTAATGAAATAATAGCATTTATTATCATTTCGTGTTAATTTAAAAAAGGAAATATGTTCCAGTAAACAAGTGACACCTGGTTTTTAGTTTCTTAAGAATTTAATGTCCTGATGTGCTCCAGTGTAAGAGGAGTAAGTAGGGCAAGGAGGACCAATAGGTTTGTTCTTATGTACTTACTTGAGCTGGTATAATATCTTAACTATACTCTTGTTTGCTGAGCCCTCTTAATAAAAGATTGATGCAAACCTTATGATAATATATTCTAATTGGGCTAAGTTTCATTTCAAGAAAATGTTTCATTTTTTTGTATTAAAGTAGAATTGAATCCTATCCAAAATTAACCAGCTTATTGCATCCATACTGTTAATGTAAATATGATAGCATAAATTTGTATGTGTTATGTTTTAATCAAATAAAAATTATTGTTAGCTATAATAAGAAATTCTGTTGTTTTTCTTCTTGCTCTTCTCAGAGTTTACCCTATTTGAAACAATTATCCACAAATATTATAAATAAGTACATTGGGAAAAAATTTAAATGAAAATCTGTTTTCACAAATCAGGGCCAGAAATTTGTTCAAAGCTTCTTTTAACTGCTGAAATTAAAAAAAGAAGTTTTTTTTTTTTTTAAAATAAGAAAGAAGTTGTTACTAGTTTTGTTTTTTTGTATATAATATTTAAAATTATTCCCTCCATAAAGTATATCTTTATGATAGGTGTGTATGCTATCATATGCCTTAAAACAGAATTCTGTGTGGTTTGTTACCAGATAATAGAATTTAACTACTTGAATTACTGTGGTTATTATTATTTAATAATAATATTAATCTTGATATTGATCCTTTGATTTAATCTTGTTCTGTTAAATCTTCAATTTTCAGAAATGTAAAATCATTACTCCCATTGTTACTAATTAAGTGTGAATATATTGAAAGGGCATCGATGATTGAATACAATTTTGGATAATTAAACTCAAATACCAATTTTTTTTTTTTTTATTCTTTGAATAACAAACAATTAATATTAAATGCATACACCAAAAGCACTTAAATCAATCTACTTTTATTTAATGTGCAATTTTTAATGATACAATCAACAGGTTTGAAATTAAGTAGAGTTTTTTCACATTTGTTTAATATTTTATATTTTGAATATTCTTTACATTGTAACTAGTAACATTAAAAAAAATATTTGTGATTAGTCAAGTCAAAATATTACAATAAATTGGGATATTACATTACTGATACTGACTGGATTGTAATTATTATCATTTTAGCCTAAAGTTTCTTAAAAGAGCATGAGTCTGAGACCCATATGATTTTAGCAAATTTCACAATATTTACGCTTGTTTATTGTCGTAATGAGAACCACTTACCAAGTCCTTTTATAGCCAGATTTTTAGTGTTGAGAGAGAATGTTTTAAGATAAAACTGAAAAGAAAAAAAAATTGACTGATGCCTTTTTAACTAATTCGCATTCAATTGTAATAAAAATTTACTGTTTCATCCAGTTATAATTTATAAGAATAGTAATACCTGCTACTTTGAAACTTAAATGTTCAATTACTGTTCATACATCAATCATGTTTTAGATGTTGAATACTATTTGTTTATCTTTCATCTAAGGAAACAGCTTAACTGTGTATATAGTAAATTATTGGAAAAAGTATTTCCTAAATACGTGTTAGTTTGTAGTAATTTTTTTCTTTTCATTTCTTCTTTTTTTTTTTACTACTTGACTTTTTTAAGGTATAGTTTGTTGAATAAGTATACATCTGTAAAATTTTATGCTTACAAAATGTATAATTGAATATTTTCATGTAAATATAGAGACCAGTAAATGATAACTAGAACAAAATTTCTGCAATCTGATTATGATTTATTTATTTCTTTTTATTACCTCTGTAACAAAAGAATTAATTTTGTAAATAAAATAAAGGCATACATACATTAGTTCATTTGTTGGTTGGGGTAAGGCTAGTGGCTCCTATATATATATATATTTATACATATATATATATATATATAGTATATACCTAATTTTTATTATAAGTGTATTTTAATATTGAATATGTAGTAAAGTGGAAGAAAGAATGATACAGAAGTATTATTGATTTAAAGACAGTTGCAATGTTTTTTTTATTTTACTTTATTTAAAAAAATTAAAGAATAAATGACTGTCTTCTTTCATTTGTAAAATAAACAAAAGAGTTGATTAATTAAATATTGTAAAAAAGTGAAGTTTGCTTTACCATTCGTTTTATATTCATTTTAGAAAAAGAAAATTGTTAATAAAAGTGGTTAAAAAATCAACGTAAAAATCACAAAATGCTGCTTTACAACTGTTTAATAGCATTATGAATGGCTCTTTAGTATTAGTAACTCGCTCCTCTATATTGTCAAATATCAATGTTTTGAAAGTAGTAATTATCTTGTTTGTCAATTATTATCTGAGTATTGAAAGTTCTTAGTCACATTTTAAATATGTTTTATAATAGAAACATACTTTATATGTGAAATAAGCTATTTTTCATTATTGTTTGTTTTTATTCTAAAAAATATAACAAAATGTAACTCAAATATGTTAAAAGACAAGCTTATTAGATGAAAAATTTCTGATTCATTATATAGTTAAAAAAGAGTCTCCTGGTAAATCAACAAGAAAATTCAGTAAAACTATAGTGTTAATTCATTGTAATTTCTGTATAAAATTGGTATTAAAAAAGGTTTGTAAATACTTGAACAATAATTTATTATTGATCTAAGGTAATTTTTCTTTCACTAATGTTTGTAATAATTTGTTTGTTTATAAATATGTTGAAAAGTGAATTATGAGACTAAACAAGTCTCATTTTTTTATTTATTTTTTAAAATTAAGTTTATTTATAAGAAATATATATACATATATATTATTAATTTTATTCATTTATTTACAGTATACAGTATTGCTTTATGGCAGAAAATAAGTTCTGTTAGTTAAATATATGGATTAAACCTAGTTCATCTGTTAGTTCTGTACAAAGTAATTATTCTAAAGAGGAATATATTAATTACATGTGTACATTTACATTAATTATATCTAGTCCGAGGAATACTTCGTGCTCTTTTTGCTTTTTAGATTTTACATTGTTTCTGTAAAGTTGGTGTTTTTATAATGATACAGACCTTAATAATCAATTACTCCCTCTTTGACTGCTAGGATATTTCTATGAAATTGTGGTTAGAGAGCATAACAGAAATACAACTCAAATTTATGGTATATCAAATTCACTACTTAAAATCATATATATTAAGAGCAACCTCAAATATGTACATGTGTGTATACAATTTTTCCAAATTGATTTATTGGAATGCTTGTTACATAGATTTATTTAATGATTTCTTATAAATTTTTATTTCTCATTCATGTACTTAGTATGTTAACTGGCAGTTTTGGTTATGAGAAAAAATAAATTTTAGGTTTCTTTTTAGAGCTACATCACTTTGATGGTAATAGTACTTTTTATTTTTTTTTACTAAATTGTAAACAAATTTTCCTACTTGTATTATTAAACTTTTCTTCACTTAAAAAATTATAATTTCGAAATTCTGTCTGTACTTATTATTTTAAAACATTGTCAATTGTACTTATTATTATAATTGTTATTTTTATAGTCATAAATTAAGAAAAATGATTGCAAAAATAATATTTAACTTAATAAGTGGCTGAGAAGAAAATATTCTGTAATTATTTTATAGTTAAGTAATAATGATAAAAATATACCAGAATTTTAGATTCCTGTTGTGTTCTCAACCATTATTAATCTGCTTCCCATAATAGCTTCTGATGTGGAGGTATAAGAAATAATATTTTATTTTGGATATTTTTTGCATTGTAACTGATGTCATTTAAATCTGGTTTTGAAGATTTTAACATTTTTATTTTATTTTATTATTATTTTTTTAAGGTCTGTATCTATTGTTTATTTTGTTTTTACATTTATCAACTATTTCAATGTGAAAGCTGAATTTGTAAGTTTTACTAATTTTCAGGAAAGATGAGACCTTTTTATTTAAATATGAAATAGTTTTTGTTAACAAAAAATTGTCAGTAAAGTGGAAAAACAAATTGTTTTCTATAACAATTAATGTATATCATTATATCTTAGTTCATATAAATGAAATAGGGAGATGCTAGCTAAACCCTAATCTTTAATCAGTGATAATACATTCTAACTAAATGTTTGTCCCTGTGTGATATCAGTGTAAGTTTATGTATGCAAAATAGGCAAGAACACCAGTAGACAATAAGATTTATTTCCGATGTGTCCTCACTTGGCCATTGTAAAAATAAAATGTGTATAATTGACAAATATTACTTCAAAAATCGTATATTTAAAAACTCTGAAGGGATATAAATATTTTATAATACTTTGTTCTAAAGCTTTACCAAATTAATATAGTAATGTTTTGAGTGACTTTAAAAATACTAATGCATAACAGGTGATTTTTGAACATAAATTCAAGTTGCCAATGTAATTAAGCAATAATTAAGGAACAATATTATTATTGAAGATAGTGACTATTTATGGATGTGCCATTGTATACCAGTAAATTTATATGTATATGGAGTGGGAACACAAAGCCTTACATAACTCCAATACATTTTTTCTCTATCCTGTGGTCCATTTTTGTTCATTACGCTTTTGTGGAAATGAAAATAGATTATACATTAGTTTATTATATGTACATATTATATCTGTGTGTGTATAAATTAATACACATGCAATCACACACTCTCACATACAGAAACATATATTAATACGCATGAAGTGTTTCAAACTTATAAGAAATTAAAAAGATTTTTCTATTTATTTCTTTTTTTAAAGTAAATATAACCCTAATCCATTACCTGTCCCTTCTATTTCTGTGTGAATTATAAGTATCATATAAGGATGCTGTTCTGAATTCTTGTTTTCTAAAAACCTTTGCCCATAAAAATTTTTTGTTTCCATTAATGTTATTATTATTTTTGGCCTGTTTTAATGAGAAAAGGACAATGCACAATAGGCCTCAATAAGGCCGCAATGCACCTTTGTCGGGTTAAAAATTAGTACAATATTTTATTAAAGGTATGCTTATTCGCTTTTCATTAGTGAACTTACATATATATATATATATATATATATATATATATCAGATTATTTTGAAACATTTTTCAGTGCTATTTAGTTTAGAACTCAAGACTCGTGAAACAAAATTTTATTTGTAAAATAAATACATTATTGTTTATTTAGAAGTAGTATTAAAACATCAATTAGTATTGAATTAAAAAATAAATTACATAAGTTCAACACGCCTTCTCTATAAAAGAACTTATGATATTTAAGTCCTGCTCTAAACATAAAAAAATCTCGTTTCTTTTTTGCTCCAGAGAGTTGAACAGCCTTTGGATCTTACATTATCCTTGGCCTTCTATGTTAAGGCCAAAATGTGGTTTCGATTCCATCCATATTCCAAAAATAACTTTTTTACCAAATTAGAGCCTACGAAAATTAAGGGAATCTCAAATAGATCCGCAAGATGTGAAGAGCACATTGAAAATATTCCTAAAAATAACATATTGTCATTAGCAGGGATATTAAGTACTGCTGTTATTAAATTTAAGTCAATTTGTAAATTTTATTTTTTCATAGAGATTTAGCTGTAATATCCATAGTAAATATTTTGTTTTACAACAATAAAAAATTATTTATTAATAAAAAGTATATGCTAGTAATTTATTTATTACAACATATCTCAGGTCGCAAAGTCTTATAATTATTTTTGCTGAAAATACTAACAATTTGAGAAGATAATTTAACATCATCTAATTTTATTACAAAAAATGTGAACCTCAGATTATTTTGACACAGACTTCGAATTAAAGGTTTTTAAAGAGGAAAGTTTTCTCTGAATTTGATAATCTGTAGTCCAGTCAAGAGCTTAAAAAAAAAATTAAGATAGCCACCTGAAAGCAATTCATCAATACATAAATATGTATTGAATATATAAATGAATTAAATCAGGAAATAGTTTTAACAACGACTTCCACTTCTTTTTTAAATATCTTTTTTCTATTCTGCTCAAAAATGAATAGGGATATTGTTAGTTATGAATGATTTATTTTGCCTAGATTTTTTATTTCATTTTTATTATCAAATACATTGAAAATTAATTCAAATAAGATTGTATTTGACCTCGGAAGATTTTACAAAGAAAATATTGTTTTAAGGTGTTAAAAAAAGGTGTTTTAAAAAAGTATTAAAATTAAAATTTCAAGTGATCTTGTTCTTATGAATTTGAATTGTAAGAATTTTGTGAAATTTAATTATTTGTGTAATACCCTCTGTTACTACTACCTCTCTGCACCTATTGGGAATTCTGTTTACAATGTTGTCACTGATTTCACAATAAATTTTATACCATAAACATGGTAATACTGCTCTCAGTTGCTGAAGATTAAAAAGCTGCAGATGGTGGTCAATATGTCTTCTCTACAGTGCATCCCACATGTGCTAGAGGGGATTGAGATGTGGAGACAATGCCGGAAGGGGCAGATGTGAAATGTCCAGATTTTCAAAACATTTATGAAAAGCCTTTTCCCTTATGAGGTCATCTATTGTCAAGAAAATGGAAATCTGTGACAATTAGGGCCCTGGTTTGAGGAATTTAGTCATCTATAATTTCTTGATCATAAAGAACTGCATTGAGATTACCTTCCACAACATGGAGTTGAGTCCTCCTAAGTAGATGCAGGTCCAAACAATGGGAAACGGCACAAACTGTGGCAGTGTACTTCACTAGCGGATCCAGGATTTAATTTTGGGGGGCTTCAGGCCCAGAAGCTTTTTTTTCATATATATATAACGATAATTACTTCAGAAAAACAGAGAGATACTAACTACCTATATGAAATGGTGTTTAAGTGATTCTTGAAGTCCTATTAAATGTAATTAAACGAGCACTAATACTTTAAGACATCATTTTTTTATATTTTATACCATAAAACATGGT